TTCCTGCCCGCTGGGGACGACTCCCACTGCCTGACCAGCTGGCCCCCACACTCTTCCCCACCCAAAGTTACAGGAGAACCCACATTCCAGAAACACGGCCCCCTTCCCAGCTGCGAGTCCAGCGCCCCCTGAGACAGGCAGCCAGAGAGACGGTGGGGTCCAGCCCCCATCTTCCTGCAGTCTAACTGCCATCCCACCTGCTGCAGCCCCCACTGAACTCCCTCCTTGCTCCCTGTGTCCAGTGAGTGCTCACATCAGCTTCACAGTTAGGAGATAAGCAACCTCTCTCCCCCTCATTCCTTCCCTCTTAAGCATCACAGGAGACATTTTTTAAATGTCCCAATTTTGGCATGGAGAATGAGGTCAGCAGACCCATGGGGGCACTGCTTGTCGGTGACAGCTGACAGTCTTCATTTCACCTTGAAACTCCTTCATGGTCCAGGTGGGCGTGTCCTAAGCCCAGTTTCAGAGGGGTGCTATTAGGACAGAGAGAGCAGGAAGGGAATTCACCAAATAACAGTTTTGGTTGCTGATGCTGCCGGCTCCACCCCTAACATTTGCAAGGCCTGGAGCAGGGAGGCAAAGAGGGGCCCACCTACCCATGTTGAAATGTTTAAAAGTTATAAATCAAGCTAGTAAACTGCTAATTAAGATATATTCTGGGAACTCCTTGATGGTCCAGTGGTTAGGACTCAGCACTCTCACTGTTTTGATCCCTGGCTGGGGAACTAAGATCCTGAAGCCATGTGGTGTGGCCTAAAATAAAATAAAATACATTCTAAACTCCCACCTTGACAAATACACTTTCATAATTACCTGGAAGACCAGCTTCCAATTTAGATTCCTGTGACTCCTGGGAGTTCTGCAGAACAACTCTGTGTAAGGAGAAAGAGCTCCATGCCCACTCTGGCCCCGGCCAGCAGCCCCGCTTGCTACAGCCAGCTGCTTTCTGCGCTGCAAGAGACTCACATGCATAGAGGTAGAGGCCCAGCCTCAACATACAGCCTGGTTCCATCTTCACATGCTGCAGACAGCTGCCCCTTAGCCATCTTCAGGTGTCCCGCTCTCAGGTCCAGGGGTGCACACACTAGTGGCATGACCTGCTCTGAGGAGGACAAGCTCAAGGAAGAGGCTTGCATGGGCTGGGAGCAAGCTGGCAACCTTCTGGGCTAGGACCTCTGGCATCACAGTTATGGGGCATGTGGTCTTGAAGGGGACGTCAGGCTCATTCCCTTAGCCTTGCTTGACTACTCTTCATCCCACAGAGACAGGGATGGCCAGATGAGGGCCAGAGCAGAGCCCTTGAAAGCACAGAGCCAGGGCATGGGCAGCCCCGCCCTTGCCCAGGTTTAAGGGTGCTTATTAGACCCAGCCTTCTCTGGCAGCCTCCAGTGCTCAGGCCAGGGACTGGAGCTGTCTTTTCATTGGAGGGCAGCTTGGACAATCCCCAAGCAGGACTTTCAGCCACTTGTATTATTTATCTTCCTGAAAAAAATTAAGTGCAGCTTGATCCCAACTTGTGGATTTCTGGACATGGGGAGGGCAGGGAGGTGATGACAACGGGCCTTTTTTTTTTTTGGTTGGGTCTCTAAGTCAGTTTGTTCCCCTGGGACACAGCCCTCCCCAAGTGGGCTGCCGCTTGTCGCTGCCCTGCAGGGACCCCTGTCCTCACCCTAGAGACAAAAAGCAGGGTGACTAAAGGAGAAGGTGGTGCGGGGCCCTCGGCAGCTCAGACAGATCTAGTTGAGATCCAGAGACCAGTAGGGGCTGGGTGGGGGGGGAGGGGGCGTGAAGGGCACTGCTCTCTCTGGCCAAGTTTAAAAAAGAACTTCCAACTCCACCCCTACTCCCCGCAGATCGGCTTTGCTGTCCTACAGGCGAGGGGACACTTACACTTGTTGAGCCCTCACCAGGCGCCAGGCACTGTGCTAAGCGCTCTACGTGCGTGTTCTCATGTAATCCTTGCAGCCACCCTATGAGGTGGGTTCTATTATTATCCCCATTTTACAGATGGGGAAGCGAACTCAGAGGTGAACTAATTCACCCAAGGTCACTCAGTAGATAGAGGTGATAGGGTCCAAGTCTAAGTGATCCCAGAGCCCCCACTCTTTCCACTATAGCCTCCGTTGCCTCCCAGAAGCAAAAAACTGGCAGAGAAGCAGAAGGGATAAAGGTCAGATATGAGGAAGAACTTCTGACAATGATGGTGTATGTGGTGAGAGGAGACAATGCAATGGGGAAACTACTCAGACACAGGAAGCCCCCCATCCCATCTGAGTTGGGTCTTGGTCTGTCTGTTGGCTTGCGATGATCTCTAGAAGGTCTGAGGAGTCCTGGCTGAATCCTGGATGGCAGCATCCTGACCTTCCTCCCATTCTACAATCTGGGGTTCTCTGCTCTACCCCGACACAGCACCAACACCCAAAGTCTGACTCTCCTTTGTGGCTCAGAGTGCTAAGCACCACATCTGAGCTGGCAGCCCAGGACCTCCTTTTCTAGGATGACTTCCTTGTGGTCCTAGGAGTCAGGACCTGCCTACAGCCCAAATCTTGACACAGAAGGTGCAATTGTACCCAGGTCTACCATAAGGCCCACTTCTGTGATCACCTCCACCATCTGACTCTGGGACTTGGACACAGAAAACATCTAGTCAGTCCCCAGGCTCTTGGGGTTCCCTGGGTCATCTAGAGCAGCCCCTGTTCCATCATCCCCCTTTCCCTCACATATCTGTATCCAGGGTGCAAATAAATGATGCAGGTGTGTTTGTGCCCGGCACACCAAAAGACCCAGGCTCCAGCTCAGCTATGCAGCAGCTCTCACCGCATTTTCCCACAGAAGCCGTTTGGGTCACCCCATCACCCCCTAAAGGGAGGGTGAAGGAAGGTGCACTGGATGAGGCATGGAGCTCGTTTAGTCAATGAGCCCCGCAGTCCCCACCTTCAACCTGCTCTCCTCCAGAACTTGCGTGCCTACCGTCCGGCTTTGTCCTTCCCCGTGCCTTGCAGCCTGCCCTAGTGTCAAGGGAAGCCAGCCGGAACCTCGAAAGTTCTCCAGAGTTTAGTCTCACCTCTACCCAGATGCCCAGCATCCGTGCGCAGAGCCAGTGGGGGTTCCTCCCTGCCCCTTGAGGCCCCCCAGTTTTGAGTCGAGGGCACATAACAAGTGGAAGGCGCTGCCTTGTTCTCCCGCACTGCCTCGAGGTCCTCAGCGTGAACCGGCCCGTGTCGCGGACTTACCTGCGGGGCAGAGACGAGCCGGCTGCGGCCACCTGCTCTCCGCCGCTCTCTGGAGCGCAGCGGCTTCGAGTCGGCCAGGGAGGGGGCGGGGCCCGGGCGGGGGCGGGGCCTGGGGAGCGGCGGCCGCGCCCCTCCCTGAGCCTCCGCGGGGTGGGACCGGCTGGTTTATTCAGGTGGGCAGAAAGGGGGTGGGGGGGCAGGGGCGGGGAGCATCCGGGCCACTAGGGACGCTCAGGAGCTCTGGCTTTCCTAAAGGCTTAGGATGCCCGGGTCCTGAGGACCTCATGAAACGCCCCTCTTCAGGCAACCTTACCCAGGGGCCGCGGAGGCAGTGGCTCCATGTGAAGACCCCCTCACACGAAGAGGCAAGCCTGGGAACCCCTCCTTATCTGCGTTCGCCCTTCCGTTTGAGCTCAGGAAAGCTCTCCCTTCCTGGTAAAGTGGTTGCAAAGCTCTCCCACCTCCTCTGAAGTCAAGGCCCCCCATCCAGGGGTCAGCTGTGTAGGGGCCCAGGCCACCGAGGGGACCTTGAGGTGCCCAGATCATCTTTATCCTCTGTCCATCTCTCTCCCAGCAACATAGCACCTCCGCCCCTCTCCCCAACCCCCCCTGCCCTCAATGCCAGCTCAGGTCCCTCAGCTGTCACTGTTTAGCCCTGGAATGATAGGCGTCCGGACTCCGTGCGTCCAGCCACATTCAAGGCCATTGAGCTTAGCACCCCTGGGCCCCTGTCCCCCCCCCTCGCTCTGCCCCCAGTCGCTAATTTTATTGACCTGTAAAAGGCACGTTGCTGACAGGGGAGATCATGACTGAAGGTGAAGTGGGGAGCAGAGGGGCAGAAGCAGTCCTGGGAGGCACAGATGGGACAGAAGAGAGAAGGGTGACTCCTGGAGCCAGGGCCAAGGAACGCTGGAGATTAGCAGGGGGAGAGGCCCGAGGAAAGAAGGGTACACTCTGTGGGGGAGTGGAGGCCAAAAAGACTGGTACTGGAATGTCAGCCCTCAGTCAGACAAGAGGCACACTGAAGAAAGATGCTGGAAGAAGGGATGTGCATTAGTTCCCATCTATCCTTAGGCAGGAGCAGGGGTGCAGCAGGAGAGGCGGCGGTTGGATGGCAGGAAGGACTGCCGTCCTGCTCTCAAATCTCTGCCCTAACCCCCTCCCTTCCTCTTGAAGGTGACTCCTGCCTGCTGGGCCTCTTACTACAGAAATAGCCCTTTCCCTGAAGAATCAACCTAGATCTTGCCTTTCTTTTTCTTTCTTGTTAAAATGAGAACAGAAAATTTAGGCCTTCACAACTTGTCCCACCCACCCCATGCCTGCCTGAGCCCTACCCCTCAAAATCCTGGATCTCGGCCTGTCTCCAGCCCAGGGAGATGACCTAGGGGTCAGGATAGGATGGATGGGGTTTGAGCCTATTATGGGGTGGAAGCGGTGAGAAAGCCTCACATTCTTGATGGCTCTCAAATTTAGACTTTTGATGCTCTGTCCAAATAAAGGTTACATGAGAGCCATAAAGAGGGGTGTTAAAAAAAAAAAAAAGCTTTTAACATTAAAAATATAGCACAAAGCAGATCAGTGGATGAGGAAGGGGAAGAGAAGATTACAACGGGAACAAGGAAGTTTTGAGGGTGACAGCGATGTTCATTATCTTGATTGTGGAAGAGCATACGTATGTTAAACTTATCAAATCATACACTATACATATGTACAGCAATATCAATTATACCTCACACATCTGTTTTTCAAATACCACACATTTTCTACACCCGTTTTCCACTTCTTTATTTTTAATTTATGAAGAATCTCAAAAAATAGCAGTGGCCTTGGCAGGGAAGGAATGTTGAAGGGAAACCGTGATGATGCCTAGTCAGGGTGGCCATTCTCCTGCCTCAGTTTCCACCCCCGCCTCCCCCGGTTCCATTCAGTGTATACGAAGGTGTCTATGTACATGTGAGGATATTTGGGATGAGCTGTGGCTCTCGGGCTGCTTCCTCAGTATAGGAGTCGAGCCAGCCTGGGAGCCCAGGGTTCCTCTGTGGCTGGTTGGTCAGTAGGGAGTCAGGAATTGGTGACTCCGGTGGGAGGGGCTGGACCCAGGCTTTGCCCAGGAGATGGTGGCTGTTGTGGATTCTCCTGCCCCCTGCAGGCTGTGCTGGGCATTGCAGGACAAGGCAGTCAGTCCAGAGAGAGGCCCGCCAGGCCCTCAGCACATTGCACATAGTCAAAGTCAGGCACAGTGAAGGGCACGCGGGACCACTTCTTGGCCCGGACTCGCCCTTGTGGTGTCTCCAGCAGCATACTGCCAACTTTGAGCACCGGCAGCTTCACTGACTTGTAGATTATCTGCAGACCCCAGGCCTGGGGGGAGAGGAGAGAGATGGCCAGGTCTGAGTCTATCCTCAGAGAGCTTCTTTTCTCCAGTCAGAGTCCATGCATGCTGTGCCTGTGTCTCCCACCTCAGCCTGAGAACTATCTCCTCCATCACATTGTGGGCTCCCTACCATAGTGGAGGAACTCCCCAGATTGGGAAGTCCTGGGGCAGGGTTGTCTCCTCCCTCCCAGGGAGGGCACCTGATGGCAGAGACTGGGCCCCCTCTCTCAGACTGAAGACTTCTCAAGACTAGAGCAAAGGGCCACGGCCCCAGCACTTACCTCCCCACAGTTCCGGCAGCTAATGGCACCCCCGGGTCTCCAGTCCTTGAAGTCTCTGTCGATGACCACAGGCTGCTCTGAGATGTTGTAGTAGATCCTGGAAAGGAATGGGGGTGGCCACAGCCCTCATGGACCCCACTTCCCACCCCAACCCCAGGTCTCATGCCCTCCTGCCTGCGGAGCCTCCGCCTGGGCCTTGGGCATTTCTGCCTGTTAAGAGGCACAGAGACTTCCCAGGGCCGGGAAACCCCATCTTCCTTATGCTATGCTGCCTATGCTGCCTCCCCGGCATCCTCTTCTGCCCAAGTTCAGGTCTCAGCACCTGGATGATTTTAACAGTCTCCCAAAAGCTCTCCCTGTCCCAGCCTTCCATCCGATTCCATCCTTCTTCTCAATCCTATGTCATCCTGCCACCAACCACCAAAGTGATCCTCTACAAATGTACATCTGACCCTGACATGCCCTTGCTCAAAAATCCCTCCCAGACTCCTCACTGCCTACAGGACAAAGGCTAAACTTTCAGGTCTGACCTTCAAGGTCCTGCACAGGCCAGTCTGTGTTCCTCCAGAATCTCTTCCTTCACCACCTCTTTCACTCATATCAACCACAATTACTCCCATTGCATCACCCCAACCTCCACACATATTCTAACCCAGTGCCTTTTTCAAGACAAGATGTAGTGGAAATGCTACCTCCTCAAGAAACTGTGAGGATCTGTGGCCTGGCACACAGCAGGTGCCTAATAAATAATGAATGGATGGAGGATAGGGGAAGGTCACCCTCTATGGTAGAAGACAAGGGGATGGCTTGGGGACAATTAGCCCCCTTCATGTCTTCAAAGTAGGTAGGACCAAGGGGCCAGTTTGTGGCTTCTCAGCATTTGGCATCCTGAATTCCAGCTCGTGCTCAACCACACAGTAGCTGTGGGGACTTGGGCAAGTCACTTAGCTTCTCTGGGCCTGTTTCCTTACCTGTAAAATGGGGTGATGATAAGACCTGTCTAATCAGACTATTGTGAAAATGCACACTTAGTAGTTGTTAAAATGCTCTTTAACCTCCCAAACGCTCAAAGCACTGTCTAGATGGGAGGGATTCTTCATCCCCCATTATACCTCTTCCTCTCTCCCCTCTTCCCATCCTGACATCCCCTTCCACGGTTCTTACGAGAAGTTGGGGTTCACATTGACGTGATGGGTACCCTCCACCTTCCGGAGGTCACTCCCATAGCCCACGGACACCACACAGTTGATGCAGAGGAGCTGGACCTGCTCCGCCAGGAACTTGCGCTGCCGACTCTCTCTCTGGGCTGCCTGGACTGCCCTCTTGACCAACGCTGCCCGCTGCAAATCCCGGATCTGAGATGGGAGTTGTCACCGGGCATGGCTGAGACTGGAGAGACCTGACCCCAGGAATGCTTCCGGGGGACAAAGGGTTCCCAAAGACCTCAGATCATTAGCAGCCAAAGGGACTGCTTCAACCATTCCTGGAGCTGTTAGAAGCAGCTCTGTGGCAAAAAATATGGGGGTGGGGACAACTATGGGAGGGAAGGAAACTTTCTCGCTGAATCTTTACCCCTACTTTGGAGGATTTTGTGCAAAGTGGCTTCATTTAATCTAAAGTGCTTAATCGCTCAGTTGTGTCCGACTCTTTGCGACCACATGGACTGTAGCCCACCAGGCTCCTCTGTCCATGGGCATTCTCCAGGCAAGAATACTGGAGTGGGTTGCCATGCCCTCCTCCAGGGGATCTTCCCAACCCAGGAATTGAACCAGGGTCTCCTGCATTGCAGGCGGATTCTTTACGAGCTGAGCCAACAGGGAATCTAACATGGGCTATCATGAACAATTATGCAAGGACAACAGAAGTAAACAGGGACCATCCTGAACAAGCCTGGACGCTGGTGATCCTACCTCAGGGGAACTCATTTCAGTCTTGGTTCTGGGCTTATTTTGTGGATGTGTCTATTTGTTTCCCCCTTCCTGGTTCCAGAAGGGAGTTCCTTGGTGACTCAGATGATAAAGAATCTGCCTGCAATGCAGGAGACCTGGGTTCAATCCTTGGGTCAGGAGGATCCCTTGGAGAAGGGAATCTTCACTACCCACCCCAGTGTTCTTGCCTGGAGAATATCACGCACAGAGAAGTCTGGCAGACTACAGTCAATGGGGTCACAAGAATTGGACACAATTGGGCAACTACATTCCCACACTCCACTACACTGGTTCCAGAAGGGCTGTAAGGCAGCTCTCCCAGATGCACAAAGTATTTGGTGATAAGGGTAAATTCAAAGCCCTGGATAAGGCCTGCTCCCCAGGCATTTTGGAGAACAGCCACTGCCTTCCCTGGCAGCCCTACCCTCAGCCTCCAGCCTCTACCTTTCCCAGGTGGGCCAGGTTAGCCCCCAGAGGAACAGAAACCCAGGGAGTGTATGTGTGAGTGGCCAGAGACCTTCCAGGCAGAGCGTCCTCAGCCTCCGTCCCCTCAGGGTACTCAGGCTGCCCACAAACCTTGGCCTGGTACTCGGCCTGGTCCATCGCCTGCACAGCTGCCACTGCCCGTTCCATCAGAGTCTCCAGCGCCTCATTCGTCAGCTCCCGCCGCAGCTCCCGACTGCCTTGGGCTGCCACAAACGAGTACGTGCTTTGGCTGGCCCGGGCCCGGCCCCTTGCCTGGGAAAAGAGAAAACAGAGGGGGCTAAGTGGGGCTGGGGTCCCACACACAGCATCCTTTGAGGGCTGGTTGGGGGAGGGCTGCTTTGAGCACCTGGACCATGGAGATCTCATTGGTCAGGAGCCCATAGCGCACCACCACATTGCACTGGGGGATGTCCAGCCCCTCCTCTGCCACACTCGTGGCCACCAGGAGGTTCAGGGTACCAGTCCGGAACTTCTGGATTACTTCTTGCTGGTCCCGCTGGGATGGTGGGGTTGGGGAAGAGAAAGAAGATGGTAAATGACAGGTTCAGTCCAACCATCCTGCTAGCTCTGCCTCTCCGGGTTTGGCCCTTTTACTCACAACCTTGGTCCCTTTCCTGAGGAACTTTGAATTCCCACTTCGACCTTCAAGTACCCCCCAGGACCTTGCTCATCTTCCAAGGTAACCATCTAAACTCTGTCTCCCTTCAGTTCAGACACTCAGTCATGTCCGACCCTTTGTGACCCCATGGATTGCAGCATGCCAAGCCTTCCTGTCCATCACCAACTCCCAGAGCTTGCTCAAATTCATGTCCATTGAGTCGGTGAAGCCATCCAACCTTCTCATTCTCTGTCGTCACCTTCTCCCATCTTCAATCTTTCCCAGCATCAGGGTCTTTGCAAATGAGTCAGTTCTTCACATCAGGTGGCCACAGTATTGGAGTTTCAGCTTCAGCATCAGTCCTTCCAATGGATATTCAGTACTGATTTCCTTTAGGATGGACTGTCTCCCTTAGGAGTCTCCAAAGGTCCCTGCCCCTCTACTCTAGGAGCTCTCAGGACCTATTCTTTTCACACAAGGGATCCCAGGCCTCTGACTCTCTGTTCTGAGGACATCACTCACCTGTCCCCATAGATTCCCCAAGCCTCTGCATCTCTTCCCCCAGAGACTTCCAGACTTGGGAAACCTTCAGCACTAGGGACCTCAGGGTCTCTGTCTCTGCCCTCTCCCTAGAGATAATCAGTCCCCCATTGCCAGAGTGAAGACTCTGTCCCCTTCTTTTCTGCCCTAGGGAACTCCCCCACCCTCAGCTCCTCCCCCCAGAGCCCACACCTGTGTCATCTGGATCAGCTGAGTCTTCTGGCTGTTGTTCCCAGCCCCAATCAACACCTGGGGCCGGATGTCCACTGTCTGCAGGCCTGGCTGCTGCTGGAGCCACAACAGGAGGGAGTGAGCGCTTTGGCGGGTTCGGGTGAAGATGATGCCCCGGGGTCTGTCAGGGCTCCTGAATTGCTTCAGCAGGATTGCTTCCAGCACCTCCAGTTTCGGGTTCTCTGGGCTGCTAGTTGCCAGGCGGGTCAGCTCATTCTCGTGGTCTGCCAGAAAAGCCCAAAACAGAGGCCTGGAGGTGGGCAAGGCATGGCTTGGGTGTGGGATTCATAGGGATAACATCACAGGAGTACGGGGTTGGGGGGCGGGGGGTGTGTGCCTGAGGATATGTGCTCCTGCCTAATTCCCCTGAACAGCACCAAAAGCACATTTAAGGATACCCTCTGCCTGCCCTGGTGGCTTCTGGGATGGCTCAGACAGTAAAGAATCTGCGTGCAATAAAGGCGACCCAGGTTCAATCCCTGGGTCAGGAAGATCCCCTGAAGAAGGGAATGGCAACCCACTCCAGTATTCTTCCTGGAGAATCCCATGGACAAAAGAGCCTGGTGGGCTATAGTCCATGGGGTCGCAAAGAGTTGGACGTGACGGAGCGACCACACTTAGTAATCAATCTGGAGTCTCGGCAGAACCGGGCTGGCCTCCAGCTCAGTTCTTTCCTCATCACCCTGGCTCCTCTCTGCCTGCCCAGGCTTGAGGCCAGCCAGCCTTACATCAGGGCCTTACAGTGCAGAATCCTTTGTTCACATACCTCATCCAGCACCTCTCTTCAGCCCAGCTACCCAGATGCCCCTGGGTCTTTTCATGCTAACCTTTGCTCCCTGGGATTGACTCAACCTCAGGTCTTTTCAGAAGGATCCTTGCTTTCCAGCCTGTGCTGAGGCCTCTTGCATTTCGCCCTCTGACCACCTCACTGTTCCAGTTTAAAGGGACCACACATCCCAAACTTTCAAGGACCATTCCCAATTAAATGGTTTTTAAAAAAATCTTTGTCATAAACATGAATTAGTTTTTACACCCACCCAAACCTTCACAAACGAGGGCATATTACCTTTTGTCATATCTTCGACCTTGACTTTGGGTTAGAAAATTAGGGCCCCAGTACCCTCATTAGCACTTCTCCCACCCACGTTGGGACCTGTGCCCTGACTGGCCTCTGACCTCTAATTCAGCTGCGAGCCTCACCATCAAACAGCGCCAGCAGCCAGCGCTCGGCATGCAGGATCCGGGTCTTAGTGGCACGCTCCCTGTTGTAGAAATCTCGCAGCGTGTCGAGGGCATCCACTGCGCGGACCGTGTCGTGGATAAGCAGCGCGTCGTTGTACCGACGCAGGTGAAGCGCGTACACCCGCCGATCCAGGAGCCCCGCCTCAGCCGCTGCGGGAGGGTCGGGTTCGTAGGATCTGAGTGGCCACGCCCCTGCAGGGTCAACTTCCGCCTAGGCTCCGCCCCCAGAAGGGCTCCGCCCAGGCTGGCCCCACCCCGGATCGCCCCCACCTCCTAGCCCTCCCCTAGAGAGCCGCCCCGCCCAGCCCGGGTCACCATCCTGGCTCAGTTCCACCACTTGCTGCTCGTAGGTTTGCGTCCCGAAGTCCCGTCTCAACTCGGGCATCTCCAGGTGGTCGTGGATTTGGTCCATGAGCTTCTTCAGCATGTCCCCAAACGGGTCCTGGGCGAGAAGAGTGAGGATGTGAGGGGATTTCCAAACACACGGAGGGAATGGGCACCTAGTGGGGAAGCTGATCTCTGGGTGAAGCTGCGTTGCTACTGCAGGCATATCGAAGCTGGAGAGGAGCCAGCCCCAGAGGGAGGCCGGCTGGGGTGTGGAGGAGTCTTGGTTGGAGGTAGGAGTCGGGGTCCTGCCCCTGGCTCCTGCTCTGTCTGCACCCCTGACCTCTGGCTCGAGCACAATGATGTCTGTCTAGTCCTGTCCAGCCCCATCAGAGCAGACCCCAGACAGTGTCTGCACCACAGGAGAGAGCTTGGAACAGCCTCAGGACAAAGTGCCCAGCTTTGCAGTTTGCAAACCGTGCCCAGGGTTTTGAGATTCCCCCATGGTAGCATCTGAGTCTAAACAAACAGCAGGCTGAAGGCATGGGCTGTATCTGCCCCATTTCATGGAAAGAAGAAATGGAGTTTGAGACAAAAGCAAATAACCTGGAACCACATAGCTGGTGAGGGTGGAGTCAGAGCTCAATCCCAGGTGTCCTAAGTTGACACCACACCCCACCCCCTGCCCCGGCCTTCCCCCCCACCCCGCGTACCTGGGTGTGCCTGTAGCAGAGGTCATACTGTTTGCAGGGCTGGTGGCTGTGCTCCTGCAACTGGGGGCGATGGTTCTGGGGTGACATGATGCACCATGTGTCCAGGTTGGCACAGAGCTGGGGCAACAGAGCGGGGTTCACTGGAATGGGGGAGGGTTGTGGGGACAATGGGCAGAGCTTTGGGGCAGGGTGGGCTGAGGCAGGGCCATCAGGAATGGGGATTCATATATTCAACCAATATCTTGTGGACTGCCATGGAGGTCCAGTGATTAAGAACCCACTAGCCAATGCAACGTACTTGGGTTCCATCCCTGGTCCAGGAAGATTCCACATGTCTCAGGGCAACTGAGCCCTTGCATCACAACTACTGAGCCTGCACTGTAGAGCCCACGAGCCACAACTACTGAACCCACGAACCTAGAGCCTGTGCCCCGCAAAAAGAGAAGCCACTGCAATGAGAAATAAGAATACCACACTAAGAGTTGCCCCCGCTTTCTGCATCAGGAGGAAGCCTGTGCACAGCAAGGAAGACCCAATGCAGCCAACAATAAATAAGTAAATTTTAAAAACAAAACAACAACAAAAACAAATAGCTATTGCCCCTGTTGTATGCCCAGTGCTGTTCTAGTTACTGGGGACATAGAGCATCTTACATTGGAGTTGGGGAGACCGATGATAAACGAGTAAAGAGTAGCAGAATGAGAGTAATTCAAGTAGTTTTAACTAACTGAAAAAAATCAAATTGGTATGGAACAGTGCAGGGATGATCAGGGAAAACTCTGAAGAAATGACATTTAAGCTGTTACCTGAAAGATGAAAAAGAACCAACAGGTGAAATGCAGAATAAAGACACTCAGGGCAGAAGAAGTGGCAGATGCCATAGGTCCTGAGATGAGGACAAGCCTGACTTGCTCACGATACAGAGAGAAGGTCAGAATAGTGGGAGTTGGGCGGGGGGCGGCAGAGAGGAGAAGGTGCGGGAAATGAGGGTGGGAGGTAGGCAGGGGCTCGATCATGTGGGACCTTATAAGCCAGAGTGGACTTGGGAGATTATTCTAAGCGTGAGGCTAGTGCTTAGGTGGGGAAGGGGCCCCAACCCTCCCCCCCCAGGGGCAGCCTGGGGAAAGCTGATGGGCATGGTTTAGGGCAGGGTGGGTGGGTCACAGGGGCCAAGCTGACCTGCAGGACGTGATCAATGGCCCCCTCGAGTGTGGAGGCGCCGCCAGTGCCTGGGGAGGCGGTGAGACCCAGCACCTGAGGCAGCGGCCGGGTCCTCTGGAGTTTAAGCTCCAGGTATCGGCTCAAGATGATGTTGTAGACGGTGTCTTTGTGCGTGTGGTGACACTCATCCACCACCAGCAGCGAGAAGGCTGAGGGCGCGCAGGGAAGGTTATGAGCTGAGTTTCCACAGCCCTTCTTCCCATGAGCTTGGTTTCGCACAGTCCTCACAGCTCATCTGAGAACTCCTCCCTCCCTTCACAGCCTGCACCTGGGCCCCAGAGAATGGGCCACATAGGGACAATTTACCTCCATCTACAGGTTAGTAAACTAAGGCTCAGCTGGGGCAAGGGACCTGCCCGAGATCCTGCACTCTAGCCAGATCTGTTTCTACTGGGGTGTATGCTGGGGTTTGGTGAATGGGGAATTCCTCATTCTATAGAGTGTTCCTTTACTACACCAGGAGCCCTGGGGTCCCCGAGGCAGGGTGCCTCGGGCGTACCCTCTCCCCCTGCCCACAGCCCTCACCATTGAGCTCCACATGCTCCTCCTCTTCCGGGCTGGCCAGTGCCTTCTGCAGCAGCTCAGCCGTGCAGATGAGCAGGTCGTGCCTCCGGGCGACGTGGCCAAAACCAGCTCGTGGCCCCATGTTCCCGCTCAGGGTTGTGATGGTCCAGCGTCTCTCCAGCATGCGGCTGAACTCCTCACAATGCTGGCTCACCAGGTGCACCTGGAGATGGAGAATGAGATGGGAGAGGAAGCTAGATGAGGGCCTGGGGGGTGGGGGTGGGGCAAGGTGAACCCCTCAGGACATAGCTGGGTTCTGGAATGGGAAGAGACAGGGGAACTTAGAGACGGTCACAGCCGGTTTGGAGTTCTGGAGGCTCCTGAGAGGTTACCTGAGAAATTGAGAAGCCACAGTGAGGGGAGGGCAGGACACTCACCCTGTTGACCAATACAACCACCTTGGCTCCGTCCACGGTCTCTAGATGCCTCTTGGCCACATAAGCAGCTGCCCTGGTCTTCCCAGAGCCCGTGGGCAGCCATATGATGATATTCTTGCCCTCCAGGGCGGGCATGATCACCTCCCATTGGTAGGGTCGCAGCTCCATTCTGGAAATGGCAGGGAGCTCAGACCCAAAGACCCTCCTGGCTCCCTCCTAGGTCCAGCCCCTGTCAGAGCCACTCCCCCTTCCTGGCCAGCTCCATCTGGTTTGGGGAGCTCGCTCACTCGCTCGTTGTGTGGGGGCCAGGGTTGGGGGTGCGTGGGAACTCCCTCCCGCCTGAGGGAGAAGGGGGCAGGGCAACATTGGGACCTCCTGGGAACCTGAACTGGGTGGGAGCAGATCACACCAGCCCCAGCTATGCTGACAGCGTCTGTCTCACCTGCAGCCTCGCCGGCTCAGCCCAAATGCTGCTGGGCTCTGCAGAGAAGGAAATAGAAACTGAAACTGGGGGGAGGAGCCAGCCCAGCCGAGATCAACCTAGGAATCTCCCTTCCTGCAATCAATCATGTGCTTCAGGGGGCCCAGGGAGGGGGGGTGGTGCGGGGTGAGGGTGGACAGTGAGGGGAAGAGCAATGCTGCTGACCACATGGGACAGCAGCCTGGGTCCTGCTCAGCCCCTCCCCCAGAAGCAGCCAGCAGGGAGAAGTGGGGTGGGGGGCGGGGTGCAGCCTGGCAGGTCCCATCACCCCTGGGGGTGCAGGACAGGAACCAGAGGTTTGCTGGGAAGGGCAGCCCCAGCTTGCAGGGGATATTGGCACAACAGGGTCAGCAGGGGATTTTACTGAGGAAACCATCACACAGACAAAACAAAACCAAAACTTTATTGTTCCCTCCAAGGGATTAATGCCAGGAAATGAATGGTCCCCATGCCCCCTGCCCCTAGGGGACAAACAGAACAGTGCAGGGTGAGGCATGGCCCCTTCAGTCCAGCTTGAGCTCCCAAGCCCTGATGTCCCCTCACTCAACCTAAAATTGGCGATCCTGCCCTTGAGGAACCAGTGATCTGAGCAAGGCCCAGGACTCCAAAGCTGTATCGCTTGGGGGAGTGTGTGAGTGTGTGTGTGGGGAGAGGGGATCAGATCAGGGCGGGGCAGCGTTTATCCTCTGGCCACCAGCCATGCTTAGAGGCTCCCAGACCAGGGAGACCCATTTCCAAGCTCAGACATGATGAACGGTGGGACAGAGCTGCAGCCTTGGGGGTGCCTCAGGGCCCAGAAAGGGCTGCAGGATCAGGGGCTGGAGGGCCCCGGGCTGGAGTGTCTCAGACAGAGGGGGACCTGGGCACAAGGGCAGCCCAGGGATGAGATCAGAACCCGAGGGGGAGACATTCCACGTTGAGGCCGAGGTCCAAGGCTGGGCTACTTGTCAATGAGCCCGCCCTCCTTGAGCTTGAAGTAGAAGAACTTCTCCAGGGCGCTGGCGCAGCGGCAGTACTCGCTGTCCGGGGGGTTGTACTCGCGGCAGTTGGCGATGACCCGCTGCAGGTCGGCCACAAAGAGCTTCCGGGTCACGTAGTAGCGGCTGCGCAGCCTCTCTGTCATGGTCTTCAGGTCTGGGCAGCAAGAGAGAAGGGCACGCCTTTGAGAGGCTGCCCGGCCATGGGGGGCCGGGGCTGGGGCAGGCGTGGGAGGGAGAAGCTGGAAGGAAGGGTCCTCACCGATGGGGAAGCGGATGACCTCGTAGTAGTCTGGGGCCTCCGACTTCTTCACGGGCTCCATGAAAGGCCAGGCACTGGGGTGGGACTGCAGAGGACAGTCAAGCTGGGGCCAGATCCAATGTGCCCCTGCCCATCTCGGGACTGCCCCCCCTCACCCTTGGTCAGAAAACTACAGCCTTTGGCACAGGGACCCCCAGAAGAGAGCCTGGTCTCCCCACCTTGATCTGGGCCAGCAGGTTTTTGAGGGTTGTGTAGAGCTGGTCGGGGTCCTTCAACTCCTTCCTAGAGTGAGACAGGCCAAGTCTGAGGCTCCTGGGCCGTCTGCCGCCCCTGCCCCCACTGTCCGCTCCCTCCACACAACACTCACCCTTTCTCCTTCCCCAGTGGCTTCCAGCCTGTCTCTCCTGCAAAATGGGAGAACACCCCTAAGAAGGCCTATCCACACTGTGAGCAGCGCACCCCCTCCCGTGCCAAGACCCCTGCTCACGAATGCCAGGGACGCTCTCCACAGGGATCTGCCGCACACCCTCCTTGAAGCAGCTGAGCCCGGGGTAGACCTTTCGGATCTGGGCCTGTTTGCGCTCAATCAGCTTCTTGATGATCTGAGGGAAGGAAGGGTCTGAGGGGCCAACCTGGCTCCAGCAATCACCCTCTCTGGCCACAGGCAGGGAGGGCTCCCCCACTTGCCCCTCGAGGCAGCGCAAGAATCAAGACCCTGGCCAGCTCCACTTCATGTGTGCACAAGCAGGTATATACGCGGTCTACACCCACACACGTGTTCACTCAGGTGCATGTTCATGCAAAGTCCCATGGAGACATGAACATGAGCACACGCACCTCCTTCTGCTTCTTGATGATGTGGGACAGCTCCGTGTAGGGGATTCGAGGGTTCAGCTCACACTCCATCAGTGTCGCACCCTCGTAGTCCTTGATGTAGCCCAAGTAGCGGCTCTTGGGCACCTTGATGTCCTTGGAGAAGCCCTAGGGGGTGGAGAGTTACCACCAACCCATCAGCAAGGCTTTTCCAGCTTGAATCTGTCCCTGGAACGTTTCCAGGCTGGTGGCCCCTCCTGATTCACCCCCACCCCCTATGCCCTGCCCCGAGAACTTCCCAGTTCTCCCAGCTGCCTGGGAGAACCCTCTTCTTCCCTGGGGCAGCAGCAGGAGGGAGAAAGACAGGCGTGAAGGACTTCCCCACAGGTGCTGGATGGAACAGGGGACATGAAGTCCACCCACACCAGGGGCGAGACAGAATGACCCCTGACCCCGGCCAGTGGGCAAACACAGAGTGAGGGGAAGGTCACCTGCTTCTTGAAGTAGCCGATGGCATACTCGTCGGCGTAGGTGAGGAAGTAGAGAATGTTGTGCTTGATGTGATACTCCTTCAGGTGGTTCATCAGGTGAGTACCATAGCCCTGCAGGGGAGGGAGGGGGAGCTCATCATATGGGAGGAGGCAGGCCTACACTAGAGAGGTCTCAGGAGGGTGGGGAGCGGAGGGCAGGGACAGGAGGGAGCCGGCTGGAAAGGAGGTGGGGACAGCCAGGGGATCCAAATCAGGTAGGAGGAAAGGTGAGCAGCAGAGGAAGGGGCGCTTATGGGGAGAAGAGCGAAGGGCGCTGGGTTTCTAAGCGCTTACTCCAGGCCTGGCGCGATGCTTGGTTCTTTACAGAGCAATCCGCAAGTTAACCCATGAAACAGCTATCATTACCTCCATCTTACAGAAGAGAAAACTGAAACTCAGCTATGTCAGGAAATACGTCCAGGTCAGGGGACCAGCCGTGGCAGGGAGAGCCTGGATCTAAACCCAACCAGGAAGCTGTGGTCCACAGGCCACTAGTTCTCAGTCCCTGGGCCTCAGAACTGGAGGAAAGGGGAGAGGGGATCACAAGGGCCCCCCTCATCATGACATCTGAATCCCAAAGAGACACCCTGTCTTCCACAAACATTAGGACCAGAGGCACCACGCAGATTTGGGTTATGGAAAATGGGACAATCATGGAATCCTCTGGGGGTCCAGTAGCTAGGGTACCTTGCTTTCACAGCTGAGGGCATGGGTTTGATTCTAGTTGGGGAACTAAGACCTGGCAAGCCTCACAGTGCCGCCAAAAACTAAAACTAAAAAATAAAGTAGCCATATCATTTTAAAAAACAGATAAGACAAACCGGGGACCCTACTAGTCAGCCTGTTGTGACAAGATAGAAGACAGGACGACCACCCAGAACGGGACTGTTGTAAAAATGATCAACTCTCCAATGCATGTACATGTTCTTGTGAAGAAGGAAACAGATCCATTTAAAAGTGTTACTATAAATCTGAAAAGTTCTCATCACAAAGAAAAAAGCATTTTTTCTCTGCTCCTTTCATTTTGTACCTATAGGAGATGGTGGATGTTCACTGTGGTTGTTTCATGATGTATACAAGTCAAAGCATCAGGCTGTATACCCTAAACTTACACAGTCCTATATGTCAGTTACACCTTGATGAAACTAGCAGAAAACAAGGGTTACTGATTCTTGGGCGCCCTGTGTTGACAGGTGTTTTCTTAATTCAGTTGTCAAATTACAACTGCCACCTTGTGGGGATGTGAGGAAGTGTCGGGCCATAAAAGAAGGGTTGGGGGCAGCTGTGTCACTATTGTGCTGCTCTGACCTGGTCCAGACTCAGAAGCAGGGGGTGGGATGGAGCTGAAACCAGGAGCTCCCTGACCTCCACCCACACTGGGGGCAAGCATAGACTCACCTTGACCTGCTCATTCGAGGTGACAGCGCAGAAGACAATCTCTGTGAAGCCCTGGGTGGGAAACATGCGGAAGCAAATCCCACCAATGACCCGCCCGTCCTTGATCAAGGCCAGAGTCTTGTGCTTCCTGAGGGGAGAGGGCTCAGGTCACAGGCCTTACCCGTCCCCCGAATGTTCCCCAGGAACCCAACACCCCAGAGGCCTGAGCTGCACACAGTGCTGGGAACTAAGGAGCAAGAATTCCCTGGGGAAGGAGGAAGAGGCCCAGGAGCAGTTGGGGGAAGCTGGGGAGGGGGTGCTCTCCCAGGGACCTACGGGTCGAAGACGAGGCGGGCGATGTACTCCTTGGGCATTCGCGGCAGCTGGTGGGAGAAGACATTCTGCAGCCCCACCAGCCACAGCAACACCCGCCGGTTGGCCTTGGGTGTGAGCGAGTTGCCAATGACGTGGAATTCGATGATGCCTCGGCGTTCTTCCAGGCGAGCAGTCTCATCCCGGGCAGCGTTGGCCGACAGCAGGCTTGTCTGGGCACCAGAGGAGGGAGTGGTGAGCCAGGGTCTTGGGTGGTGAGCCCCCGCCCAACGGGTTGGTAAGCTGGGCTGCCCACCTCGGGCCCTAGCATGGCAGCAGGATCGGTGATGGTGAGCATGACCTCATTAACTAGCTCCATGGGGATGTCACCCATCACACGGAGCCGCTTGGCGTCCTCCAGGGTCAGGTTCTCTGGGAGCTTCCTCTTCTCGCCTGCTGAGAGGGTTGGCAAGGTCTCCCAGGCACAGCGAGAGAGGTTGGGTGGGGGAGGGGGGAGGGGGGGTCGGTGAGGGCGGAGGTCAGGGGTCAAGTACCCACCTGGCATGGGCTCAGTACCTCCAGAATCCAGGCTCAGGGAGCTGTTGCTGCTCCCACCCATGGTGGGGCTGAAGATGGGGGCGCTGGGAACAACTGCAGCGCTGACCGTAGCTGAGAGTGAAAGATGAAACAATCGGATGGAGGTCAAAGGTAGGGTGTGTCCCGCAAAGAGAGCCTGG